TTTTCTGCTTGCGTTGTATCCCTCCTTCGCCGCCGGGCCTGGCGCCGGTGAGGGCGGAAATGGCGCGGCCATGCGAAGAGCATCAGCCTTCAGGGGCAACGATAGGGGCCGGATAGGCTCAGGGGGGGACACATCGACCCCCAGTCGCCCATTCATGGCCGATAGGGACCCGATAGCCCGCCCCGTTCAGGAGCGTGCGGACTCGCTATTTGGGGCCCATCGCCGATCTATCGGCGATGTATAGCCGATTCAAGCTCGAGGTCCTCTCCCCATCCCCTGGAGCTGGTTCCCTCCCTGACGTTTCGGGAGCCTTGAGACGGGGGTCAATGCAGACGGGGGTCGGCCAGAGCGCTGCATCTTGCAGGATCCTGCAGAGCCAGGGCTGCACTGACCCGGGCTGGCGGGCAGGATCCTGCAGCATCTTGCAGGATCCCGCAACGCTTGACTGGGCAGGGTGTGGCTGCCGCGCGGGCGCCTGCAGGTCCCCCAGCTTGAGCAGGGGGGGGTCGGCGAGCCATGGGTGGCGGAGCGCCGGCGCGGTAGCAGGTGCAAAGGCGGAGAAGGAGGAGGCGGAGGACGAGAAGGAGAGGGAGGAGGAGGAGGAGGAGGAGGAGGAGGAGGAGGAGGAGGAGGAAAGGAGGAGGGGAGGAGGAGGAAAAAGGAAGAGGAGAGGAGGAGGAAAAAGGGGAGGAGGAGGAGAGGAAAAAGGGGAGGAGGAGGAGGAGGAGGAGGAGGAGGAGGAGGAGGAGAGGAGGAGGAAGAGGAGGAGGAAGGAGGGCCAGCAGATCCCCGAGCGTGGCCCCTCAAGCCTGGCCCTCCGCTTCGAGCACGGGAGGCCCCCCCCGCGGGGCGCTCTGGCCGCTCGCCTCGGGGAGAGCGCTGCCCGAGGGCGGCCGCCCCCGGAGAAGCGGTGGGCGGGCGTGGCGCCTCGGGCTCGGGCCGCGGGAGGCGCCCCCTCCCCGCCCCCTCCCCCTCTCTCCTCCTCCTCCTCCTCCTCCTCCTCCTCCTCCTCCTCCTCCTCCTCCTCCTCCTCCTCCTCCTCCTCCTCCCCTCCGAGTCGGCGGCTCCAAAGGATGGAGCCCTGATGGGTGGGATGCCTGAGGGGCGAGGGTTCGCGAGCAGTGCTAGCTCAACTTGGGATCCCCGCCCTGTTGTCTGAGCCCTACCGGCGGGGCGCCGCACCCCGCGGGCGGCAGCGCTGGCCGCCCGCGCGGGCACACGGAGGGAGCCGTACTCTCCCCGTTGGGATGCTGGAGCTCTGGCTGCTGTAGCCGCAGGCGGGCGGCGTCTGGTCGCTGTCGCGCCAGACGTCGGAGCAGATGTAATTCGGCTGCGAGCGAGCGGGGGGAAGTGAGAGTGAGAAGGCCTTCTCAGAAGGCGGCGGGGCTTCTCAGGAGCGCCTGCGCGCCTCCTGAAAGGTTTGCTGCGTCTTCGGGGAAGGCTTCAGAAGCTTCTCAGAGGGCCGGGGGACTTCCGAGCCGTCTGAGAAGGCCTTCTCCTTGTCACTCCCCCCCCATGCTCGCCGCCGATAAATGGCCAAGGTCGTCCCGCCAGCATGCCCGAATCGAAGTGCACGGGGATGCACGGGCGCAGGCGCTGCACACCGCTGGGTCAGTGAGGGCGGCGTCACCCCGTGCTGCCGCCTGCCCCGGCGGCGCAGTGTGCACACCGTTCGATGTCAGCACACGCGGGGCACGCCCAGCGTCCGTGGATCTGCTGGCCAGAACCGAAGGGTCCCAGGGACACACAAACAAATAAACACACATCCCAGGATCCCTCGTATTCCCATATATTTTCGGGAGTTTCGTCTCCCCCTACGTATTTGCCGATATTTTCCTGGGAAGCGACGAGTATTTGGGTCTGTGCCTTTTTCCCTTCTGAATCTGGGGCGGAACTGGAACCTCCCCTCCTGGGTTACTCCCCCTTCTCCGCAAGCTCACTGCCCTGCCCCCCCCCCCCTTCAATCTCAAGCTCCTCCGCGTCCTCCGTCTCGAGCTCCCTCCTCCACCGCATGCTCCGCAGTCCTCGTCTTTCCTCCCTCCCCTCCCCCTCATCCTTCAGCTCCTTCTCCCACTCGTCCCCCCGCTCCGCTGTCTCTCTCTCTCTCTCTCTCTCTCTCATTCTCCTTCTGCCTCCAGTCGGCAGCTGCGGGGTCGTGCAGCTCACAGGCTCCCCGCGGGGCCCGCTGTGGAGCCCCGCGCCGCGCACCGGCGGCGGACGGCCCTGGAGGTCCCCCAGGAGTCCCGGGGAGGCCTCGGCAGGCCCGACGGGGGGGGGGGGGGCAGACGCGGGAGGGGAGGCGGGGAGGCGGCGGGGGGCTTCTCCCCAGGCCTCCTCCTTCCTCCTCCTCCTCCTCCTCCTCCTCCTCCTCCTCCTCCTCCTCCTCCTCGTCCTCCCCCTCCTCCTCCCCCCTCCTCCTCCTCCTCCTCCCCCTCCTCCTGCTCCTCCTCCTCCTCCTCCTCCTCCTCGTCCTCCCCCTCCTCCTTCTCCTCCTCCTCCTCCTCCTCCTCCTCCTCCTCCTCCTCCTCCTCTGGGAACACTGCACCACAGGTTCTATGAGTGCCCTTGTCTGCAGCATATCGGGAGGTATGAGTGCCCGTCTTTCCTCCTGGAGGCGGCGCGCAAGGTCCATGCTGAGAGCGAGGTGCATGGAGAGCTGTTCTGTCGCTGCCTATTCCCGTCCCCGCGCTGGAGCTTCCCGCAGGTCGAGCCTGAGGTAAAAGTTTGGTGGGTCGGAGTGCCAGCCGAGTGGCGCTTCTCTGGGCATGTGTTTGTTGATGGCAGTGCGTTTCACACCACTATGTCAGGCATTAGTCGCGCCGGTTTCTCGATTGTGCAAATTGGCAGAGCAGGCACCGTAATTGCAACTTGCCACGGGGTCGTGCCTCTGTACTTGGCACCCCACCAGCAGGCGAGAGACAGGGAAGAGATGGCCTTCTCGTTTATTGCGTCCCACTGCGAGCGGGATCCAGACAAGCCTTTGAACGTGTACTCCGACTGTGCAGCCACGGTCAGTTGCGCACAGGACCCAGGAATCGCTCTTTCGGCCATGCAGACTAAACAGCATTTCTGGCGGACTTGGTGGGGGGAGGACGGGGTCGAATTCAGAGCGGCCGTCACCAAAGTGAAGGCCCACACTTCGGTCGCCAGTGTTAGGACCGACCACGAAGCGTGGCTGATTAAAGGCAATGCTGCGGCTGATAAGTTTGGTAAGCTCGGAGCGCGGCTCTGGAAGACGCCGCCGGAGCAGATTCTGCTCGTCCAAGGCTTGGAAAGCTTGGTCTTAGCTGCTACCAGGTGGCATGCAAGGGCCCAGCAGGTGTTCGGGGACTCGGGGTTCTGTGACTCGAATGGGATCGCTGTGACCTCGGATGTCACGCTCGATTTGGATCCAGAGCTCTGGGATCAGCTCCACGAGGCGTCCTTGGCGGCAGGGGTCCGCCCGTTCGAGGGCGTACAGGGTGCCGTTCTGCTCGAAGGGGCGGCTTCACGCGCAGCCTCCGCGGCAGGAGCAGCCGCGCCCTGCAGATTGGTGCTGCAGGTCCTCCTCCGGCGCCCGTGGACGAGCTTATGCGGAGCTCCAGGGCCCCCTGGTGCTTCAATGGACATGGCGTGGCCCAGGCGGGCCGCTTGGCCATGGAGGGTGGGGACGAGGTCTGGCCAGGGGACGCTGCTCTTTTTCGTAAGGCCTGCGGAGCCTCGATGCCTCGGCAGGCTCGGAGGGGAGAGGGCCTGGATGGCCCCTCGAGTCCAGGAGCCGAGGCTCCTGGGCTGCGGACCCAGCGATCCGGGCTCAGGGGAGGTCTCTTCCCTGGTAGGCTTCATGCTCGGATCGGCGAGGCGACGGGTCCGTCCGCGGCGCAGGTGGAGGCCCGGATGCCGCGACTCGCAGCCCTCTCCCCGGGCGCGCCAGGGCGGTGGCGGCGGCCAGCAGCACAGGCGGGGCTTGCAGAGTTGAGCCGTCCCCGCCGCGCTGGGGCCTCTCGCTGCCTGGGTTGCTGGAGCACGAGGTGGCGAGGTTGCACGGATTCGATAGCCCGACCGCCGTCGTAGATGTCGCTCGGGGGTGCGAGGCGGTCGAGTCCAGAGCTTCACAAGACGGGCTCCCTCCAGAGGGGGACTGTGGAGCTCGCTTCCTGCGTCTTCGGGCGAGGGGGCATCCGCCCCGCATAGTCAGTCTCAGTCTCAGCCTTCCCCTCCTCCGGGCGGAGGGGGGAGATAAGGGGGAGGGGAAAGAGCCCCTAAGACACATCTCTCCTCCTGCCCCTCCTCTCCCACAGGACTGGTGAAAGTGGAGGCGGAGGAGGAGGAAAGGGAATGAATGAGGAGAGGGAGACGGAGGAGAAGACAAAGTCGTCTCCTGTGGGCAGAGAGGGAACATAGGAAAGCGAAGAGGGGAGGTGGACGTGGAGGAGGAGGAGGAGGAGGAGGAGGTGGAGGGGGTGGAGAAGGACGAGGAAAAGTAGTAGGAAAGGAGGAGGAGGAGGAGGAGGAGGAGGAAGGAGGGGAAGGACGAGGTGGCGGAGGATGGGGAGGGGACGGAGGACAAGGACGAGGAGATGAGGATAAGCATATGCAAAAGGAGCCGGCGGAGGAAAGGAGAGGAAGAGGGAGAGAAGGGCGGAGGAGGGGGAGGAGGAGGAGAGGAGGGAGGAGGAGGAGGAGGAGGAGGAGGAGGAGGAGGATATACAGGATGAGCAGGAGGAGGGGTCTGAGGAGGAGGAAGGAGGAGGAGGAGGAGAGAGGAGGAGGAGGAGGGGAGGAGGAGGGAGGAGGAGGAGGAGGGAGGAGGAGGAGGAGGAGAGGAGGGGATAGGAGGAGGAGGAGGAGAGGAGGAGAGGAGGAGGAGGAGGGGAGGAGAGGAGGAGGAGGAGAGGAGGAGGAGGGGAGGAGGTGGAGGTGGGGAGGAGGAGGAGGAGGAGGAGGAGGAGCTCGGCGGGAACAGGGGGGATTGGGGGGGGGTGGAAGCGAGGGCAGCCGCGCACGCCAGCGCGGTGCAGGCCGAGCGCCGGGCGCGGCTCTCGCCCGACGCCTCGCTGGTCGCCATGGCGCGGACGGGGGGGGGCCGCGTGGGGGGGAGGAGGATCGGTCGAGGAGGAGGAGGAGGAGGAGGAGGCGGAGGCGGAGGAGGAGGAGGAGGGATTGAGGTTGGCTGGCTGGCTGGGGTGGTCCATAGGGCGGCGTTCGCATCCTCAGGCACGGATGCTTTCAGTGAGGCTGACCGGGCAGGAGGAGGGCCCCGCAACTGAACACCCCCGCATCGACCACTGTGCCTCCAGGCGGGCAGGTCCATGGCCACGTTTCATACCAGGGGACAGCGGCCGTCAGGAGTGGGATAGGCCGGCAGAGAGTCCGCATCTCAACTGCCGGGGGCTTCGCCCTGCCCCCCGGCCCCCACCATCAGAACAGCGTGCGCTAAGCGCCACTGCAGAACAGCAGTCACGGAGGGGGGCCGAAGACCCTTCCCTGGGGAATGGAGGGGGCCCCCTGCCCAACCCAACCTGACCGACGTCGAACCCCGTTGCCGCAGCGCCCCTGACGAAGAAAAGCCCTGCGGAGGGAGAGCGCAGCCAAGAGGGAGGGAGGGAAAGACGGACGAGCGGAAAGGAGAGGATAGTAAGAAATTTCTTCCCAACCCACCCCAGCTCGACACCCGCAACCCCCAGCAGAGGCCCGTCCACACCCGATTTCAACTCTACGAGCGGCCCCCAAAACCAGCAGGAACCCAAACAGGAGAAGCCCACGACACGACTCCAGACAAACGTGCCAGGTGTCCGAACAGGGCCCTGCCGCGAAAGAGGCGCAGCCGAGAGGGAGGGAGGGCGGAAGAGAGAGAGCGAGAGGGAAAGAGAGAGAGAGAGAGAGAAACAAGAGAGAGAAACAAGAGAGAGAGAGAGAGAGACAGAGAGACAGGGAGAGAGAGAGAGAGAGAGAGGGAAACGGACGAGGGGTGAGCGGATGAGGGAGGATGGAGGAACTCCCCTCTCAACCCACCGCAGCTCGACACCCGCAACCCCCAGAGACCCTAGGACCCTGTCGAGGAAGAATCGCAGCCGAGAGGGAGGGAGGAAGAAGGAGAGAGAGAGAGAGAGAGCGAGAGAAGGAGAGAAAGAGAGAGACAGAAAAGGAGAAAACTGGGGGGAGGGCAGTTATGCGGCGACCACCTTCGACCATAAACCAGCCTCCGCCCTGTCCAACGCCAGCGCGAGCGCGGCAGCTTCCACATAGCCTGGATGGTCTGGGGTGAAATACAACATTGCCTCCGCACACGCTGCCTTCGACTCTGGTTGCGGTGCACCGCGGGCGCGCCAGAAATCCGCACGCTGTCTCGACACAGCTTTACACAATGCAAGAACATGGCAGGTGCCGCTCCTCACGCGAAGACCACAAAAGGATGCATGCTTGGATTCGTGCCCAGGGGCGCCTGCCCGACCCATGTCCCAGCACGAGGGCTCCCAGACAGGGACGCAACAACGACCTCTGGCCCAACAGGACCTCCCACGAGGTGGGGGGGAGCCTTGTGTTTGCTGCAGGTCCGTCGGGAACACGGGGCGCAGGGGAGGGTACGGCAACGGGAGAAGATGCTGGCCAGCCGCCTGCCGCCAGCGTTCCCCTGAAAGCCGTGCCAACCTTTCCTGGACCTCGGCCTTGGCACCGTCCCCTGTGCCTTTGGGGGGACTCTGTGGAGACCAGATCGGCCAGCCTGGTATGCCCCAGGAGATGCGAAGGACCAGCGAGACCCTGGCCCACGCGCGGCCGGCCCCCTCGTGCGCACCCAGGAGTACGTCTCGGCACAGGCCACCGCCGGGCAGGGCCCACGAGCCTGCCCTCCCAGAGGCCACGTTGCCCACCAGCCACGCTGCCACCGACAGGTGCCAGCTCGTCTCGCCGAGCGCTGCTGCTGGCCCCCGCGATGGCAGGACGCCCGAGAGCAGCCAGCCCTCGCACGCCACGTCCGCAGCTTCCGCCCCTCCTGACGCAGGGGCTCAGGGTCACCTGCCGAACCCGAAGGAGGCCTCCGCCTGTGGATCAGAGACGCCTGCCGCGGAGAGAATGGAAGCTCCTCGCGCGCCACCAGGCCCGCCAGCGTGGAAGCGTGGGAGGCCGCGGCGCCTGCCCCGGGGCCCCGAGGCCCAAGTCGCTGCGCCGATGGAGCCCCAGCCAGCGGTGTCTCCTCCTGTGCTCCTCCCCGGCTGCCGCTGCGGCCCCGCTCCCGCTGGGGCCCTCCTTGGAGAGGCCCGACGCCGGGCATCGCGCCCTGCCCACGGTGCCCCCGGGGGCCCTGCCGCCCACGGGAGCGGGGCCCGGCTCCCGGAGGAGGGCCCCCCCCCCGCAGCTGCAGCCCGCGCACAGAGCTGCCGCGTCTTCTCCTCCAGCTTCGCCCACTCCGCTCTGACAGGGCGGTCGTATGTGGTGACCCTCTGCGGCCCCTCGGGCGGCGGCTTCTTCGCTTCCACGTTCGCGGCCGCGCGGAGTGCGGACCCGAGCGGGCCGTTGTGCTTGCTCCGGTAGGCTGCCGCATCCGCCGACCTGGCATCCGACCCGGCGTGCTTGGGGGCTGCGGGGTCCGCCATGCCAGGCTGTGTCTGGGATGTCCGACGCGGTTGCGGCCTCAAAGCTGGAGCCCGATGCTGCGGAGGAGGGAGAGGGGTCACGCAGTCCGACACCAAGTCACCCAGTCGACTGAGGGCCGAACCAGCCTCAGCCCAGCCACAAGCCGGGGGCAGCCGGCGTGCTGAGAGAGGAGGGAATGGCCTCCCCTCCGCGGGAGACCTGGGGCAAGCGTGTAGCGTAGGGTTGGCACCGGCCTGGCCCATCCCACGCCCAGCCCTGCCTGGTCGGACCAGGGACAGTTTACCAGCCTCGAACGTATCCCTATCCCTAAGATTGACACGCCCAAAGGCGATGGCAATCTTAGGGATTCGCCCTGAAAAGCTAAGGGAATCCCTAAGGTCGGCATCGTGATGAGGAGGTGCCCAGCATAGGGACAGGGGTATGTTCCAGGCTGGTAAACAGCTGAGGCAGCAGCAGCTCCAATGCGGCCCCAGGACCCCCACCCCCGGGCCCGAGCCAACCCAGAGCGGGAGCGGCGGCCAGCCGCGGCGAGGAGGGGGGCTCACCGAGGGCCTGCCATCGCTCGGACATGTGCATTTTTTCTCGGCGAGGGCCATCGAGGAGCATCGTTGATCATTTGGCGAGAAAGCCACGCACGAAAGCGAACAAAAACAAGGGAATGGACGTCCGAGCGATGGCCAGAGGGAGGCCCCATGCCCTCGTCTCCACCCGCCCTCCCAGGGCCAGGGGGGGGGGGGGAGGGCGGGAGGGAGGCAGGGAGGAGGTCAGCGGCCACCTCGCTTCGACCCAGCTTTCCCACACACCCAGCCCAGTCCCGCAGATGGGTCCCCGACCTGGCGCCGCCTGCGAGGGGCAGCGGGAGCGGTTCGCTTCGCGCCGCCACGGCCGTTGCAAGGACTGGGGGGGAGGGAGAGAGGAGGGGAGGGGAGCCCAGCCCCCCCCCCCCCCCCAAGTCCAGCCCAACCCAGCACGCTCGGATTTAGAGGGAGGGAGGGCGAAAGGGAGGGAAGAGAACCAGCAGGAGGAGAAGGAGGAGGATGAACAGGAAAAGGAGGAGGAGGAGGAGGAGGAGGACGCGGAGGAGGAGGAGGAGG